GCACAGCAGACACTAGCCAGCAGCCCAGGCTCTCCCCTGGAGCAGGTAGGCTGGCGAGAGGGGTAACGGGGTGTCTTGTGCCTCATCACTAAGTACAGGAGCAGTGCCACCAGCCTGGGACCAGCACCAGACACTGTGCTCTCTCCAGCCACCCGATCCTGCAGCACAGACACGGCTGCCAGGACTGTCACGGAAAGGACAGGTGGGGTGGAGAATTTGGGCTCCCTCCCTGTGGCCAGCCCTGGTTACGTACCTAGAGCAGCTGTTTTGTTAGCAGCTGTACCATTGCTGTTCACATCTTCCAGCTGTTTTTTCAGCCCAGCTCGGACTTGAGCCTAAAAACACATGGAAGAGTTGCTCTTCTCAGAGCAAGGGTGGCCTGCCCAGCCAAGAAAACCTGAGCCTCCACCCTCCCAAAGCACGCTCAGCACCAAATTGCTCCTGCGAGGACAGATCCCATTTCACTTTGGCCTTTCCCCAGAGGTTTGTGGCATGGTACTGGGACGGGAACTCACCCACCATCTTTTAGGAGGTTCTAGAAGCACAAGTCTCACCTCTTCGGCAGCTTTCTTCCAATCCACACACACAACAAAAGCCAAGAAGGAAAGGGCTTGCAAAGAGATGCAGATGATCATCCCCACCCACAGACCTGCAGCGATGGAGAGGTACTTCAGGGAGGGCTGGAGGAAACCCTGCTTCTGCCAGCTGCTGCCAAAACACCCAAGGACATCAGTGGGGTCAGATTATCGCCCCAGCTCTAACCCAGTCTTCATGGGGGTTGGCAAGAGGAAACAGCTCCTGGAGGGGGGGGATGTCCTATGCTGGGAGCAAGCCTGGATTTACTGGGACATCTCAGCCCCCATTCAACGGGCGCTACTCAGAGCCCACCCCAGCTAAACCCTTCAGCGTGCCATCGCGCCCCAGCGATGCAAAGGCAGATCTGAGCCCAGCTCCAGGGCTGAGCCTTCGCTCCGGGTTTGGCCCAGCAGCAGCAGCGCCAGCAGCTCACACCAAGCCCCAGGGAGGCCACACGTACCCAACACCCCCATCTTGGCTGCAAACATCAGCGAGATGCCGATGGGCAGGCCGATGGCGTAATAGCCGATGGCGTTGGCGATAGCACCCATCTTCTGCTTCCCTGTGCCCCGCAGCACGCCGCCGCAGGTCGCCTAGGGAAAGCAGACAGACGGATCAACGCGTGGGACAGCGCATGCTCTGGAAGGTGTCACCACAGGAACTCTGAGCGTGGCACTGCCCTGTGACCAGGGAACCCCCAGCACCGTCCCACAGAGCCGAGAGGGACCAAAGCCACATCACGGAGCACGTGGCACAGGGCTCCTCTCGTCCCAGCTGCAGAAGGTCTGTCTGCAGACACGGAGAGGCACGCCAGCGGAGGGACAGTGACACTGCCTGGGACAGGACAGGAGGGAACAGGCTGGGATGACTATCTAACACCTTGTACGAGTACAACCACTATGCTGTGAGTGCCTGACAGCTCTGAGGATCCCGCTGCTCGCTTGTGCTTCCCTGACAATCTGGGACAAACCTGGAGCCTTGCCAGGGGAAAAAAGAGGGAGAACAGGGTTGTTTTGCAACAAGGCCAATGGGCAGCTACACGCACAAGGGACACCGAGGTGCTACAGGTAACGCAAGCAGCTGCTTCAGATCAGTTTGCTTCTCTGTAAGATTTTAGCAGATGATGAGCGAGCTGGAGGCAGCTTTGCGCTCTCCATTGCACCCCAAGCTGCAGCGGGGAATCGCTCCATGTGCTGGAATACTCACTGCTGCTGCATCAAACAAGTGGAACGGAGCAAAGATGATCACCACTTTGGACACCAAGGTAATGATCTCCCTGTTGGGAAGATGGATGTACTGGTCAGGGAAAGTAGCACAGTCTGGTCCCAAGGGACTCGGGTCCTGACTTGTCTCTCAGGCAGCTGCAAAGCCTGATCCCAGCCCACAAGACCTGGGGGGATGCTTGGGGACCCCCACGGTAGCGTCCCAGGGCCAGTAGCATCCATACTGCCCAGTGACACTGGGCAGTGAGGAGGAACTTTTGGGGAAAATATTTGCCAGATGGAAATTGATGAACCCTTATCTGTCAGCAGCTTCTGAGCAGCTCCTGTGATACAAATCTCACCCTCCAAGAAGGTAATAGGACTCAAAAGAAAGCTGTTAACCCACTTGTCGTTGGTGAAGATGTATCCCACCACATCCTTTAGGGTTCCCAGTAACGTTGCAACCACCACAGCAAAAATTTCTGAAAGAAAAAGAAATAGTCAAACCACTTGTCTCAAGGGCAGCAAGCTCCTTCATTCCCTTCTGCAGGACCCGGGCTGACCTGCACACAGCAGGGCGGTGATGCAGGAGGTCTTGGCTTGCACCACATCCCCTGCTCCCAGGGCATTGCCCACTCTGACACTCACGGCCACGCTGAAGCCCAGAGGCACCTAAGTGGCAGGAGACAAGAAGAAGGTGAGTAGCAATAGAGTCCACAGCAATTTTCCTCTTCCCAGCAGGGAATTTGGGACAAATTGGCATTGCTGCAGCAAAGGGATTTCCCACCCGCAGCACATCCCTGGATGTGCAGCTGCACAGCAGACCTGAGAGTCATCGCCTGCCTGGTACTGACCCCTGCTTCCCTCCCCAGCCTTGATCTGCAGGAACATTGTTTGGGGAGTCCTCCCAGGATCCCAGTTTAATACACCCAGCCCTTACCATGTACGCCGCAGAGGAGAGCTCGTACATGACGGACTGCACACCCAGCTCCACCACGCTGAGGAGCCCTGGAAAAGATTAATCACTTCCTTCATCAGGTCAGAATTAAAACTTCTCCTTTGCTGACAAGGAGGCAGTGACTACAGGGTTCCCAACTACCAGCTGCAGCATCCTGCAGAATGAACCCAGCAGGGGAGGGGGCTGCTGGCAGGAGCTGCTCTGGGGACACGCTCCAGAGGCAGCCCCGAGAGCAGGCATGGCTGGAAGATGTCCTGTTGAACCAGAGGGAAAAGAGGATTTGGGCTCACCTGCCAAGAAGCTCCCGATCTCAAAGGTCCACCATTCGATACACATCATGAGCATGCCGGGCACTGCCAGACGGATAAAGGGGCCCCAGTCCTGGAGGCAGTCCCGGCTCCAGCCTGCGGTGAGGAGGTGAAGCAGAGTGAATGCATGCTCTCCCTCTCCTCCCCTGAAGAGGAGCCCTATGTTCTTCTGGACACTCTCTGCGGGTGACCACCACCACCCCAGCCCACAGGACATCAGCCTGGTCTTGCTGCTGTGCCATGCTGCATGCCGGAGACAGGATGATCAGAAAAAATTGGAGCTAGAGTAAAGGTCTTGAGGCCATGGCTATAGCATCCTCCCACCGTGAGGGGTGCTAATCCCTTTGTCAGTGCTGGTGACAGTGCCAAATCCTCAGGGCCAGCCACTGGTATTTTGAAGGATTAAGCTATGAACAGTACCTCCCCAGGTCTCCACATGGATCTTCTTCCACCACACATAAAGGAAGAGGAGAAGGGCTTGGGTGTACTGGGAAGCAGTGTTAGCCCAGGCAGAGCCCCTGGGGAGAGAGACAGGCAGGTTACAAGTGCCATCCTCCCAAACCTCCTCTCCTACAGCAGGACAGACCTGGTGGCACCCATACACGCCTTGCTGCAGAGATGGGGCAGACACCCCCTTATCATTGCAGGCTGGTTGGCAGAGGGTGGCAGAACCGGGCACCCAGGTGACCCCCCAGCCCTGAGCAACCCCCTACCTCCAGGGAGAGGCTGTCAGCACCTCTGCTACACTTACACCATGCCCAGTTTCAGCGCGTACAGGAAGAAGGCATTCATGGCCACGTTGAGGATGTTGGCTGCAATCCCCGTCAGCACCTGGGGCAGTATGATTGCCTGGAAGCCAAAGAAAGACTTTGGAGTTTGCTTCCCCTCCACTGCCCAAACCTCCATCCAACACACACAGGGGAAACCTTCATCAACACCCAAGGAGAAAGCCCAGAAGGCAGCTCCTGGTTCAGATAGAGCTGGGTTGGGTTAGACGTGCAGAAGGCAGCACGCAGGGCTCACGCTGGTGCAGTCAACAAAATGCAGAGCTGGGAGGTAGCAATGGGAAAACGGAGCAAACTAGGGGTGGTTCCTGGGATGGCTGTGCATGGCAGCTCTCCCCAGGGCAGGATGAACTTAGATCCCCACCGTTATCCATGTTCCTAGGAATACTGTTAATCTGTGTCCCAGAACCTGGTTAGTTATACAATACCTGACTTAGTAAATATCTTGTCTGCAGCTGGTACAGAAACACCGCCTGCAAAGTCAGGATTAATTCCATCACCACCGCTGCACTACGGTTCAACAGCCAGACACCGTTTAGGTCCCTCCTCAGCCCCCCCCAACAGCTTCTCAGGGTGCCCCAGCCAGGCACGCTGCCCGACACCCTGCTCCCGTGGTCTCATTGAAGTGTCACCTCTGCCAGCACTGCCTGTGCCCCCAAGCCAAGACTAACAAAAGGCACTTCCCATTCCCCCTGGGAAGAGACATCAGTCTCCAAATGGGAAACCTCTCGCGCTTCCTCCTGGAAACCCTGGAAGAAAGCATCAACCTAGAGCAGCTTATTCCCAGGGGTGCTGCTCCCTGTCTCAGGGGAGTCTCTCCTGAGAGGGACAGTGTGACTGGGCAAGAGCCCAGCAGCCTTCATCTCGGAGCTAAGAGTGAGCCCTGGAGCCCTGGTCCCAGTGTCCCTCACCAGTTACTCGCTGTGCAGAGACGTGGCTGGCAGTAAAAGCTTTTGCACAGCAAGAGGAAAGCACGTGTTTGCTGGTCCAGCAGCTGCTGGCCAGGCCAGTGCACATCTGTCAAGGCCCAAGATCAAGGCACATGTTGTAACACCCTAAAGCATGCCCTGTGATCCACGGAGCAAAGACCCTCCTTTCCCCAATTGTTCCTGAGGGATACAGAGCTTCTAACAGCTTTAGCAGCAACTTACGGGAAGCGCTGGAATGAAGATCATCACGTAGACCTGAGTTAACCTGGAAAGAGAGTTGTTTCCCCAGTTAATGATCCAGCAGAGCAAGAGCCAAGCCAAGCAGCGCTGCACTCGAACTCCACAGAGCCTGGATTTCAACACTGTGTGACAACCCTCCTGCAGCCAAATGCCTGGTCCAGAAGGGCCCAATCCCACCCCTGACCTGGAGACCTCAGGGTCCTGTCGGAGGAGCAGGAGGATGCGCTCAGTGTTGACGAAGACCGCCCAGCACGGGAAGCAGCACAGCAGCAGGATGAGGATCCCCCGCTGTAGGATGGTGCCCACCTGCTTCAGGTTCTTGCCGCCGTACGTCTGGGTCAGGAGAGAGGAGCACGGTGAGCGTTACGGGGAACCAACAGATCTGGGCAGATGCTCAGGACCCAGGGCAGCAGCAGGCTGATTAAATGCATTTCCCACACCCTGCAGTGGCTAGTGCCCAAACAGGTTTTTGGGTTGAACTGGCTCTCAGGTGGATTGCATGTCCCTTTGCTGCCCAGGCATGACCCATGGCTCCTTGTGGGAGCTTTGGGGGGGAGCAGACTCCAGCCAGTGCATCTGTAGCCCCGTGCTGCCTGGAAGCTGCCATCCTCCTGCTCTTTGTGCCCAGATCACGGCGCACAAGAGGTGAGACGCCACCAATCGAACCCTGTCAGGCACAGGAACGGGGGAGCTGCTGCTGACCTGGGACATCAGCGTGTCACATGCTGAGGCTAAACCAGAGCCGATGGAGATGCCAGTCACATTGATAACCTGGAGGAGAGACAAGGGTCGTGGGTTGCAAGGGAGGGTGACAGGGGACCTGGCTCAAGGCACTGTGTCCCTCCCAGCTGGGTGGAGGGACAGTTCTGCTTTGAGTTTTTGGGAAGTTTCCAGCCCTTCTCTGCATCTCAGAGTAACACATTCTGGTTACCTAAATAGCCTCTTCTCTCCCCTGGTGTGGAAAAGGATCCTCTAGCAAGGGGTGAATACCTAAAGGACCACAGGCAGTGCAGCTCCCAGGTCTGCTGGGTCCACAGAGCTCATCAGAGGCTCCAGCCCCCCACCCAGCTGCTGGGCACAGTCACCAACCACTCAGTTCCCATCTCCTGCCTGTGCTCAGGGCAAAAAACCAAATTATTTAGCAGATGTAACATCAGTGTTACATCAGGCTGTGCTTATACAGAGGGTCCTCACATATACGCTCCTATAGGGCTTTCCCCCCCCCCTTGTTTTTTTGATGATACATAATTTGTATGTTTTACATCAGAGGGGAATCAGAGCAATACGTACGGACACCGCCAGCGTCACAGCATCCAGCTCGGCTTTCCCCAGGTGGCCACAGAAAATGGAGCTGACCACACTGATCAGGAACCCCAGCAGCTGGGCGACAAACTAGGATGGGAGGAAGAAAAGATGGTGAGATAAGGACTGATTAGGACTTGAGGAACATCACCCTTCCCCCAGGAGCTGGACTATGACCAGTCGGGTTTCCCAGTATCAGCACAGAGCCTTGCCTCAAGGCCAGGGCTCTGCCTTCCCAGGAACCCAGCCCTGCTCTCCAGTGCTGCGGGGGCAGAGGAGCCAGCTCTAGGACTCGGCTTCTACCTGCCCTGTGGTGTTTGGGTGTTTTGCAGCCAATCTGCCGGGTGACCTTGTTTGCATGGGGCTTAATGGATTCACTAGAAACCCTCTTTTCCAGGATGAAAGATGCATAGAGAGGGAAAAATCAAAAATCCCAATGCTTTTCTGCATTTTCTGTGCTTCCTCTCCCAAACTGCAATCTCTTCTCCTCCTGGAGAGATGCCAAGTCCAGCCTGCTTGTTCTTCACCAGGGGCTACAGCATGACTTAACGATGCTGCAGCAGAGATCGCACTCCAGACCTTGTTTTCCCTTGACAAGGGGACGGCCCCTCTACAGGCATCCAGGGCATGGAGTGGTGGCACAGCTAGAACCGGATGGTAGGTTGGCCCCTCTGCAGGCATCCAGGGCATGGAATGGTGGCACAGCTAGAACCGGATGGTAGGTGTTAGAGGTGTTTATACCCGCTGAGGGGTGGGCACGGTGGGGCCCGTGCCCAGGGTCTGCTCACGCTCCTTTCCACCCTGCAGTTGGCAAGCCCAGAGCCCAGCACTGCTGGAGAACCAGCTCCTGTGGAGTCAGAGGAAGAAGGGAAGAAAACCTTCTCCTTGCCAGACCTCCAACTGCTGCCTGCGGATGCAGTCCTCCGGCCAGGCCTGGGCATGTTCGACCTGCTGCTGTGAGTAACCCCCGTGGGGCACTGCTGCCTGCGGATTCAGTCCTCCGGCCAGGCCCAGGCACGTTGGACCTGCTGCTGTGAGTAACCCCCGTGGGGGGTCCATACCTCCACAATGGTTACAGCACAGGGTTTGACATGAAATGAGCATTAACTAGTGACAGCTGCGGGTTTGGTTTGAGGTTATGTGTGCACACCGAGAAGCAGGCTGTGCCGCAGGTGGGACGGTTGAGGGGACTGAGCCCAGGCTGATGTATTCAGCTCCAGAAACCGAAACCCGCTTGTACTTCCTCTGCTGCTTGATCACAGCAGGTCTGTGGTTTGATGTCAGGATGTCTGAGAGGTTCGTCAGTTGCTAGTTATTTACCAGATAGAGTAGAAGATGCAAAGCACAAACTTCATGCACAGCAGATTCAGACCAGAGCTGTGGTGCACGCTCCCCTTTGCGGAAGCCTCTGCAAAACGTGCCCAGTGCTGCACGGTCAGTCCCTGACTACCCAAGGATGCATCTCCTTCCAGACAAATGCCAGTGCAGCAAGGATTTTGGGCCAGCAAGGATTTTGGGCCAGCGAGCCCCAGGGTTTTAGGACAGTAAGCCCCAGAGTACCATTGCACCCCAAGTCCGCTGGAAGGGCTGGACAAGGGCTGGCATCGAGCAAAGCCATGTGTTTGTCACCCAGGGGGTACGTGGCAGTGCTGGGGCTGCAGACTGGTTCCACAGAGCAATTTACCAGCTTCTCTCCCCTCCCCAAACCCACCGCTCTCCTTTCAACTCCGCGCTGCCCAGTCCCGCTGGCGCAGGGATGGAGCTGGACAGCAACAGGAATTCCTGCGGCAAACAACCAGCCCTGGGATGATAATTACG